TCAAATATGTGTATATACACAGAGAAAGTTGTGCTCTATTGTGTATATGTACCACATTTTTTTTTTTAATCCATTCTTTAGTTGAGGGACATCTAGCTTGCTTCCAGGCTCTGGCTATTACAAATAATGCTGCTATGAACATATATGTCCTTGAGGTATGAGTTTGCATCCTTTGGGGTATTAGCCTAAGTGGTATTGCTGGGTCATGAAGTTAATTGATTCCCAGTTTTCTGAGAAGCCACCATAATGGTTTCCAAAGTGACTATACAACTTTGCACTCCCACCATTAGTGGATGAGTTTGGTTCTTACTATATATCATGCCCAGCATGAGCCATTCTGATGGGTTTAAGATAGTATCTCAGTGTTGTTTTGATTTGCATTTCCCGGATGACTAAGGATGTTGAGCACATTCTTAAGAACCTTCTCTTCCATTTGAGAATCTTCTGTTTTCAATTCTCTATTTATATCTGTACCCCATTTTTTTTTTTTTTTGGTTTTTCGAGACAGGGTTTCTCTGTGGCTTTGGAGGCTGTCCTGGAACTCACTTTGTAGACCAGGCTGGCCTCGAACTCACAGAGATCCGCCTGCCTCTGCCTCCCAAGTGCTGGGATTAAAGGCATGCGCCACCAACACCCGGCTCTGTACCCCATTTTTTAAATTGGATTATTTGGTATTTATCGTCTAGTACTTTGAGTTCCTTGTATAGTTTGAAGATCAGTCCTCTGTCAAATGTGGTGTTGGTGAAGGTCTTTTCCCATTCTGTAAGCTGCCATTTTGTCTTGTTGACTTAGTCCTTTGCCTTACAGAAACTGCTCAGTTTCAGGAGGTCGCATTTCTTAATTGTCAATCTCAGTGTCTGTGCTACATTCACGAAGTGGTCTTCTGGGTCAATATGTTCAATTCAATTCCATTAGCTCACATGTCTATTTTTATGCCAATGCTAAGCTGTTTCATTACTGTAGCTGTATAATAGAACTTGAAGTTTGAGATGGTGATGCCTCCAGAAGTTTCTGTCATGTATGATCATTTTGGCTATTACAGACCTCCAGACCTCTATGGCTAGCTAGTGGCAAGCTCCATTCTCTGACTTTCAGACAGGTTTTATTTTTACAAGCAAGACATCACCACTTTTTTGAGTTAATCTTACCACATTACTGGAGGTGCTTATCAACTGTAGTATTTCCCTGGTAGAATTTTGGGGGTCACTTATGTATACTGTCCTATCATCTATAAATAGTGAAAGTTTGACTTCTTTTCCAATTTCTTTCTCCTTGATCTCCATTTGTTGTCCTTTTGGTATGGCTAGAACTTTGTACTACATTGGATAGATATGTAGCGAAGTGACAGCCGTATCTTGTTCGTGATTTTAGTGGAATGCCTTTGAGTTTCTCTCCATTTAGTTTGATGTTGACTGTTGGCGTGCTGACCAGTGCCTTTATTATATTTAGGTATGATCCTTGAATTCCTGATTTCTCCAAGAGCTTTATCATGAAAGGAGTGTTGGCTTTTGTTGAAGGCTTTTTCAGCATCTAATGAGATGATCATGTTTTTTTTTTCTTTCTGTTTCTTTATATGGCGGATTATATGTTGAACCCACTCTGCATATGTGTGATGAATCCTATTTGATCATGGTGGATGACTTTTTTGATGTGTTCTTGATTTTGGTTTGCCAGTATATTTTGGGGGAGGGGGTGGGGGAAAATACATTCAAAATGTATTTTCGGACAGACAGTATCAGCAGGTAAAACTACGGAGTATTTCACACATTCATTCACAGGGTGTGAGAAAGCCATGGCTGGTGTGTTCTCTGTAACATTATCCACTTCACCGTGTAAACAGCTGAACAGGCTAACCTGCAAGCAGGTTATCACAGGCTTCACTTAGCAATCCCAGTAGGAAAGGCACAACTCAGCAGAAAAAAAAAAAGTTCTGGATCCTAAAATCAGGTGCAACAAGAATGAGGAAAGGAAACTGGTGGATGAGTTTCCATCCTCATTTTGGCAATGGCATTCCACAGGGCATGAAGAAATCTGCCCAGGAGCTAGAAGTATGTCCCTCCTCCCTTGTTAAACCATCAGAACCCCATTACATCAGGTTTGCTGGTATTTTATTGGTTAGTTTTTTGTCAATGCTCATGAGGGAGATTGGTCTGTAATTCTCCTTCTTTGTTGTATCTTTTTTAGGTTTGGATATCAGGATAACTGTAGCCTTATAAAAAGAGTTTGGCAATGTTCCTCCAGTTTATATGTGTGAAACAGTTTGAGGAGTATTGTATTAGCTTTTCCATGAAAAGAATTCTGCACTGAAACCAATCTGGCCCTGGGCTTTTTTTTTAAAGACTTTTAATGATCTTGTCTATTTCCTAAGGGATTATGTATGTATTTAAATTGTTTATCTGGTCTTGATTTAATTTGGGTATGTGGTACTTGTCTAGGAAATTGTCTTCTTTTAGATTTAACAATTTTGTGGAGTACAGTTTTTTGAAATGTAGCTGAATGATTGGATTTCCTCCATGTTTGTAGTTATGGCTTCTTTTCATTTCTGAATTTGTTGACTTGGATATTCTCTCTTTGTCTTTTGGTTAGTTTGATAAAGGTTTGTCTATCGTTTGATTTTCCATAAGAACCAAATTTTTGTTTCATTGATTTGTACTGTTCTCTTTCATTTTTATTGATTTCAGCTCTCAATTTGATTATTTCCTGTTGTCTATTCCTCCTGAGATTGTTTACTTCATTTTTTTCTACCCTTTTCCGGTGTGCTGTTGAGTTACTAGTGTGAGAGTTGTCCAGTTTCTTTATGTAGGTGCTTTGTGCTATTAACTTTCCTCTTAGCACTGCTTTAGCAGTATCCCCGAAGTTTTGATATATTGTGCATTCATTTTTATTTTATTCTACATTATTTTGTTTTGGGGTGGAATGTCCTATACATATCTATTAAGCCCATTTGAGTCATAACATCTGGTAATTCCCTTATTTCTCTGTTAAATTTCTGTCTGGCAGACCTGTCTATTGGTGTGAGAGGGGTTTGTGCCTTTTGGTGAGTGATTTAAGCTTTCGTAATGTTTCTTTTAGAAATGTGGGTGTACTTGTATTTGTGGCATAAATGTTCAGAATTGAGAGTTCGTTCTGATTAATTTTTTCCTGTGCTTTTTTTTTTCTTTGAGATACGACATTATGGGGCAAAAAATGACCTTGAAGTCCCAATTCTCGTGCTTTCACTTCCCAGTTGGTGACATCAGTGGTATCAGTCAGGTCTCCTTACCCTCTGAAACAGACCTTTCTCTAACAGTTTCATTTTAGGGAGACCTCTGTTCTGCGGGCTATAGTCTTTAACCTAAACCTCAATATTTTATTTTCAGAGCTATACATAATTATATAGGGATCTGATGGTTGTAACTTGACAAGCTAGAACTGTTCATTAGATCCTATGGGTTCTTGTTGGTGAACAGTGAAATCCTCTTTCTTTTAGATACAAACTTTCCTAGTGCATTCTATGGGTCTGCCTCCTCTGAGATAAACATGTCTTCTGCTGGTAATAACAGTAAGAAACTGAAGCCATGTTGTGCATAAACATTCTCAGGGGCTGTAAAGATGGCTCAGTGAAAAATGTGCATGTGAAATTTGCATCAGAGTTCAGTTCTCGCACCCTGGTTACCATTTCTGTTGCCTCTGAATGAAATCAATACCTATTCCAGATTTGTGGGCTTTCATAACTCTAGAACTTGTGTCCCATATGGTTTTCTCTACTTTCTCCTAGGATGTTCTTGTATGATTGTTTTTTGTGTTCTTGTTTCTTAAGGCAGTGTGTCATATAGCCCAGACTGCCCTCAATTTTCCTATGTCCTCAAGAATGACATTCAGTTTCTGGCCCTAGTCCTACTACATCCACCTCTCATGTTCTGTGATTACAGGCATCCTAATCCTCATACACTACATGGAACAGAAATTAAACTGCTAGGCAAGAATGTTATCAACTGAGGTACATCTTCAGTTCCTTTATACTTTTTGTTTTATTAGGATAATAATTTTTTGTATATGATCATTTTCCTACTTACATGCCTGTGTAGTGTGTATGCATGGTGCACATGGGAACTAGAAAGAGTCAGATCCCCTAGGACTGGAGTTATAGGTGGTTGTGAGTGAACTATCACTTGTCTTCATGGTATTTACTGAAATCAGAAGAGAGCATTGGATTTTCTGGACCTAATGATGGGTGTAGTTGGTAACCTCTAGTGAGTGCTGTGAACTGATCTAGGATCTCTTCAAAGCAATAGGTGATCATATCTGTTGATACTTCTTTATATATTCCATCATTTTTATGATTTTTTTATGGTCAGTGTTTACTAATTTTTGAGAGTTGTTTAATCTGTCGGTCAGTAATTTACTAAAATGCTTTCCTCTCTAGGAATTATCATTCTTACAATTTACAAGGGGTCACGTCAGTTTATGGCTGAGAACTACAGAATTGGAGTTCATGTTTTAACTCTATTGAGGAATTTTGAGTGAAACTCTGCATGATTTCTATGTGTTTGTTTTTTGTTAGTTTGAGACAGAGTCTCATTATGTACCATTGGCTGTCCTGGAACTCTCTACATAGACCAGGCTGACTTGGAAATCACAGAGTATCACCTGCCTTGGTTCCCTGAGGTTTGGGATTAAAGGTGGGCCCCACCACACCCGTGTTGTCTATCCCTTTTTAAGTTAATAATTTTGATGAAATTTGCTGATGTTATTGTATTGTTCTGTTTGAATGTCTCTCTGGATTTATTACTAGGCATTTCTTCTGCAGTTCCCTGTTCTCTTTTGTGGGCACACATATGGAGAGCATGGTTATCCTTTGTGTTTCTGTTTAAAGTCTGTTGGCAACTGCCTTTGGTATTTTATTACCCATGTGATAGACTATAACTAAAACAATGAATTATGTAAATATATGCTCAATGATATGCCCTTTTGCAACACAGTCTCACCATTTCTCTTATGTACACTATGGGATACTTTAGGACGCAGTGACCTATGAGGATGTGCATGTGAACCTTACTCATGAAGAATGGGCTTTGCTGGATCCTTCCCAGAAGAGTCTCTACAAAGATGTGATGCTGGAAACCTATTGGAACCTCACTTCTATAGGTAGGAATGTGAACTTCCAGTTTTCAACTTAAGATGACAAGCCTTTCTTGGAGATTGTTGCTCTTCTGTAATTTTGAATGGGAAGGAGAAAGAATCTAGTGAGTAAATCTTTGTGAATCTTTGTGTTCAAAGATCCACAAAAGATGCTAATTTCAGTTGTGCCTGATTTCCAGTAATATATCTCATACATTTTCTGGTGCTGTATTTTAGGGTACAAATGGAATGACCACAGTTTTGAAGAGCATTGTCAAAGTTCTGGAAGACACGGAAGGTAATTGCATGTGTAAGCAGATATATATGGACCTTGGAAGAAATGTTAGTGTTCCCTGAACTTTTAAAGAATAGCAACAATGTAAATTAGCACAGGTTTGTGATGATTATTACAGTATCACAGCACCAAGTAGTTCAAGTTCAGGTAGCTGATCATTGTTTGGAAAGCATTCCTTTAAGGATAAGACAAGGAGATGATTATTACAGTGTCACAACACCATGTAGTCCAAGTTCAGGTAGCTGATCACTGTTTGGAAAGCATTCCTTTAAGGATAAGACAAGGATGCAATGTCATAAGAGATGTTACAGTTTTAATCATAGCCACATAAGTGACATAATGTTGAATTGTCCATCCACTTATTATCATGCCATTCAATCATCATGTAAGATATACACATTGATAGGGGATTACAGTATTCCAGGATCATTAATAAGCAAATCTTCCATATTGTTTTTTTTTGTTTGTTTTTTGTTTTTTCGAGACAGGGTTTCTCTGTGGCTTTGGAGGCTGTCCTGGAACTAGCTCTTGTAGACCAGGCTGGCCTCGAACTCACAGAGATCCACCTGCCTCTGCCTCCCAAGTGCTGGGATTAAAGGCATGCGCCACCAACGCCCGGCTGCAAATCTTCCATATTAAAGCTAGTGTTTCTCATATGCTTTACTGAGTGACTTACCATAGTTTAGTGAGAGGAGCACTTTATGAGAGACAAGGAATTTATAGTAGTGTAGAAACCTGAATCCATATACCACATCTCCAAGGCAAAAATGTTAAGAGTATGTGAATGTAATGTGAAAACCTTTTATTTGCTATTCTTCCATTAATAGGCATATCAACTGTCTCTGTGGATACAAGCCATGTGAGCAACAGGGATATGGAAAGAAGCAGTCTACCTCTGTTTCTCCTGGAACTATTAGAAGATATGATGTGGTCACTACTATGAGAAAACATGATGGCTGTGATACAAGTTTCCACTCTCATTTTGGAGAAAAACATTATGAGACCAAGGAAGACGGAAATTCACTTGCCTGTACAGGTTCGCTATCTTCCACTTCTTTTCAAAGACGTGAAAAATCTCATTTGGGAAGAGGAAGTGAAAAATGTGCGCTTTGTTCTAAAGCGTTTAGCCATCACAGGTATCTTCAAACTCACAAAATATCCAATAATGATGAGAATCTCTATGAATGTAAAGCAATTAGATATGATTCCTCTTTACACCAAAGAACTCATTTAGAAGAAAAGCCCTGTGAATATAATCAAAGTGATGAAGTCTCTGCATATCCCAGTCTTCATCAAGTACACAGAACTCATTCTGTAGTGAAAACCTATGAATATCAGCAATATGATAAAGCCTTTGCAAGTCCCAGTTATCTTCAAATACATAAAAGAAGTCTTACTCCAGAGAAACCCTATGAATGTAATCAATGTGGTAAAGCCTTTGCTGAGAAGAGTAATCTTCACCGGCATGAAAAGAGTCATACTAGAGAGAAACGCTATGGATGTAATCATTGTGGTAAAGTCTTTGCACACAAGTATAGGCTTCTCATTCATGAAAGAATTCATAATGGAGAGAAACCTTATGAATGTAGTCAATGTGGTAAAACCTTTGTAGAGAAAAGCACCCTTCTTAGTCATGAAAGAAGTCATACTGGAGAGAAACCCTATCAATGTAATAGATGTGGTAAAGCTTTTGCACAGAGGAGTTGTCTTTACAAACATGAAAGAATTCATACTGGAGAGAAACCCTATGAATGTAATCAATGTAGTAAAGCCTTTACACAGAAGAGTCATCTTCGAAGTCATGAAAGGATTCATACTGGAGAGAAACCCTATGAATGTACTCAGTGTGGTAAAACGTTTGCACAGAAGAGTAATCTGCTCAGTCATGACAGAAGACAAACTTGCAAGAAACATTCTGAATATAATCAAAGTGCTAAATCCTTTGAACAGAAGAATAATCTTCTCATTCTTGAAAGAAGTCATGAAGCTGAGAAACCCTATGAATGCAATCTATGTGGTAAAGCCTTTGCAACGAAGAGTCTTCTTCGCAGACATGAAAGAATCCATACTGGAGAGAAACCCTATGAATGTAATCAATGTGATAAAGCATTTTCACGTAAAAGTCATCTTCAGAGGCATGAAAGAACTCACACTAGAGAGAAACCTTGTGGATATAATCATTGTGACAGAGACTTTGCATTTATCAGCAACCTTCAAATAAAAGAAACCTCATGTTGGAGACAAGTACTATGAATGCAATCAGTGTGGTAAAGACTTTATACAGAACTCTTGTCTTCACAGGCAAGAAAGAAATCAGCTTGATGAAAACCTTATGAATGTAATCAGTGTGATAGAGCCTTTGCACATTGAAGTATCCTTCAAAGTTATGAAAGCTTTCAAACTGATGAAAATCCCCATGAAACTAATAAATGAGGTCAGGCCATATAATCCACATATATTTTGTCCCCAGAGTTATCTCACTGCTGCTTCGGTAAGATTAGTACAACCATTACATAGGTAAAATGTTGTCTGTTTTTCAAGTTGTAAGCATATTATATTTCAAGAACAACAGAAACACATGATAATTTGAATAATGAATATATTTGCAATAGAAAATGGTATTTATCCTGTCATCACATTATTTTTGGATCATGGTGTTTGATTTTGAGGTTAAATACTTATAATCATATTCTTTGGAAGACAAATGAAGGGCAGAGGATTTTTTTCTGTGAGGAAATATGATTGCTAGAGCTTGCAGTGAATGTGCCTCTGCCTTGTTGGAAAGCCAACTGGTTGGAGACAACAGCCAAAGCTGCCATTTTCATCCTGGCTAAGCCCACTTACCAGTGTAAAACAGTGATCAGACAGTGGTTACAGATATGCAATAAAGACAGATTCAGACCAAAAGAAACCTCTAGATGTGTCACAGTATGTTTATAAAAACTCTGTAGGCTTAAAAAATTGGGTGTAGACAGTTATTAAAAGAAATAAATAGTTAAAAAAGTAAAGTCTTAAAGGAGAAAGTAAAAGTAATATAAAAGAAAAAAGCCACATAAAGATGACAAATACCCAGGGAGTCTTGATTGTACATATTATTGTGTTGGTTTTGAATTTTTTAATGGCTCCTGGGTAAGAGACAGCTGCTGGGAGACATGGGATTAGAAGAGATACTGATAAAATATACCAACCTAAATATTTTTTAAAAGCCTTATCTTTAAAACACAAATCCAAAAATATGTTTGTAAAATGTAAATTAAAAGATGCATTACTTTGGAGAAGCAGTTTTGCCTTTCTTTCCACAGGAAACAAGAGGCTGTGGATTTGCTTAGGGTTAAGATGGACCAGCTTTGATCAAGGGAGACCTTCTGAACCTTGACAGATGATATCTATCAACACGGGTTACCACTGGTCCTCTCACCACTTGTTCATTATCTCAAAATTTTATCAGGGATCCTAAAGATACTTTATCCATAGACAGCAGGAAGTAATTCGCATAAAATGACATCCGCATTCCCAAGAGTTGGAGTTTATGGATGTCTTCGGTTATTTGATGGATAATGGATGTTTGTTATATTTAGCGGAATAGAAGATGTAAAGATCATTATTTATCTCAGATATTTTACATTGGCATGAATTTTTGTATATTGCTACAAATTATGAGTATTGTCCTCATATTGCATATCTCTTTTTTTATTTCTGCTTAAGATACTACCTATACATCTCATACCTATACAGCTTGTTTAATTATGCAATAAGAAGTTTTAATCCTTAAAAGGTTGTCAGGATAATGAAGAATTGCAAGCTAATAGTCACTCATGTCTATCAAACTTACAGTTATGTTAGTTTTCAAGGTAATACAAAGATATATTTCTCATGGGTAATCTTCAAACACTTCAAAGACCTACTGAATATGGCATTTAAAATGTTTTAAGAACTTAGACTTTTGTCAACTATGAGACACGACTGCTCCTGGCAATACCAATTAGTTCAGGAGAATGCTGTGTATCGAAGAAGCTCCTTATGGAATTTGCTTTCAATGTGGCAGGGCTAGCCATTTGAACAAGAAACTGCACTTGTCTGGACTGCTTGATTGTATGCTGTATAAACTGAACATATAGTATATGTTTAAAAAAATGACTACTGAACTTGGCAAAACAGGATGGGACAGTACTTTAGGGTTTCTGATTCATGGAAGAGTCTTCCAGACATTTTGCGGGACATGGAGAAAAATGACTGACAAACTGCCAATATAGGTAGGACAGCTTCAAATTTCCTGCTTTGCTGAGAAATCTGTCAGATACTCTAGGCCTGTAGGCTGAAGATGGATGCCCCAATGTTACAGAACAACTTTGGATGATCATCTAGGCAGTCAGATATCTCTGTCATTTTTAGAGTTTTGAAAGTTGCTTACAATTCACTTGTCAGTTTCTTGGGTAATATTGTATCTTTCTGGGGTCTTTGATGGAGTTGAAGTCTTAGGTAGTTATAATTATAGTTTTCCTTAGTTATGATAAAAGATAGATGTAAAACTTTAGACTTTCAAAGATAGAATACTTTCCTTTTTTCAAATACAAATATTCTAAATATTATATATAAATGCACCCTTTTTGATTATACAGAAAGGGGAAAATAATGTGTTATGTCCCTCTATATAGTGTGAATATGGTTTTGTTTTGTTTTGTTTTGTTTTGTTTTTTTTTTGGTTTTTCGAGACAGGGTTTCTCTGTATTGTTTTGGAGCCTGTCCTGGAACTCACTTGGTAGACCAGGCTTGGTCTCGAACTCACAGAGATCCACCTGCCTCTGCCTCCTGAGTGCTGGGATTAAAGGCGTGCGCCACCACCGCCCGGCCGTGAATATGATTTATTGTCATTGGTTAACAAAGAAACAGATTTGGCCAATAGCTGGACAGAATAGAGCCAGATTGGAAATGCAAGCAGAGATACAGGGAGAAGTGTAAAATTGGGGAGATGCCAGCCACCAAGAAAGCAAGGCATGTAAAAAATGAGGTAACATCCCAGCCACATGGTAATACATAGATATATAAAAATGAGTTAATCTAGTTATATGGATTAGTTAATAATAACCCTGAGCTAATAAGCCAAATAGTTTGTAATTAATATTAATCCTCTGAGTGGCTATTTTAAAAGTGGCTGCAGGACTGGATGTGATCAAAAGCCTCTAATTACAGGAACTACTTATGCAGGTGTGGGTGGAACCTAGTAAGGGTTGGAACACAGGGTCTTGGTGTCCTGACAAACCACATAAGCCAACTATGGAGTCAGCTGGTCGACCTGGGGTCCAGGCATAAGAGGATAGGAGAGTTCTTCCAGGTCAATGACTCCTGCCACTAGGCTCTCCTTAAGGTATATTTCCTCATTACCCAGTATATCTGCATGTCTGTCCACACACAGAGGTACTGTGTTCTGCAAGAAAAGGTGATTAGATTGCCTGGAACTTTGTCATTCAGTGTGTGAGCTGCCATGTGGTCCTGGAAACTTAATGTGGGATGCTGTCTTTTCAGGGCTGTAGTTGAAGCCAGCTGAATTGCCCACGGTTTGTACCTGAGAGGGGAGTATGGATTTAGAAAAGCTAGCCAAAGACATGAAAGGAGACACAGGATAGATGTCAGGAGAGCAATTCAGTCAATACTGAACACCTCAACTTTAAATCACCATTCTTAAATAACTTAACAAAAAGGGGAACATGGTATCATGTATATGGAACGAAAAAAACATTTCTTCCTCAGTTCTCCAAGGATTCGGTAAGTACACCTCATATTTAATTTCTCGTCATCTGGCCTTGAGGGTCAATAGTAACCACATCTCAGACCAAGTCTTGTTACTTAGATAAGACACCCAAGGCCAAGATCAAACATCCTACTGTAGCCATGCCTTTGACCTACTAAGGACTTACTAAGGACAGTTTTGAACTTTCTGGACTTTAGTCAAGATGGAGTGGAGCCATCTTTATGGGCTCTGGCAAATTCCCCCGTCTAAATGTAATACCTGTGCTTCTGGTACAGGACAGATGACTGTGTTTGTTTTAGGTCATCTTCTAACACCTTCCAGCCTTACTCTTTTTTTGGGAACACATGTTCTGCCATTTGTGACCTGTCTTAGGTCATCTGGAGGCAAAAAGATCTTACCCGTCTTTGACTTCCAGCCTCTGTAATAAAAATGTTAGGGGATAGTGCATAGCTTGATGTCATGCACCTCTGAGTCAACTTTTCATTGAAAGTTCACAAGCAAGCTTGATAATGCTAAGCAATGCATATGCTTTTGTGGCTACATCTCCTTATTAAGGGAATAAAGTTTGAGTAAAATTGAAATGACCTTAAAATTGGTCTAGGAAGTCTCCAGTAGTTTTGGCTGTATCAAAATCTAAATCTGCCTTCTTAATTACATAGTATCTAAAGAATCATAAACATGTCAGATTGTTATCAGAAGGAACTCTGATCTTTTTTTTTTAGGGTAACAAAGGTTATAAACAATTTCAGTGTGATTATTAACAATTGACACGTAATTGGGTAATTGGCCAGATTACGATTCTCTTAATTTTTAAGTCAAAGGACAATAAAATGTTCTCATGGTGCTTGAAGTATGAATAACTCACAATTCTGAACCTTTTCTGTTTCCCTCTATTAAAGTCTGATTCACCATGACTTGTAATTTCCAACGGTAAGTTTGAGATACCACAGTCTTTGAGTATTGGATACTCACTGCAAAACTTTTGTTCATATCCTCCTCACATACTGAAGAAGGGCTTTAGCTACACATCACCTCCAAAATAGTGTTCCAACTGTAATGAGTCCTTTTCCCTCAAAGGGGAAGACTGGAAAAAATGAGTTCTATGTCCCAAGATGCAATGTGTATAAACTGCTGTGCATTCAGGCCTTGGCTGGATCCAGGATAAGAACTCACAGAGGTTTGGGAAATTGATGCAGTGGGTTTGTTGAGAATTTGAAAAATCTCTGACCACAGTTTCCTTCCCTTTTCAGACTGTAGAACAATGACATCAGAGGGTCAGGAACACAATTTCAGTAGATCTCACTGAATTCTTTTGGGGTGGTGGCTCCAGCTTTCACAGTATCGTCATGTCTGGCATTCCTCTGCTTCACATACCTCAGACATTCTGGCAGTTCACAAACCTTCGAGAAAACTCGATCATGCCCTCAACTACACATTAAAACAGGATCGGATCCTCTCCATAATCCAGTGCAAGGATTTTTCCATTTGGCTTGAGTGAAAGTTGAGCCATCATGCCAGAATCTATCCATGGCAGAATGCTCATGGGCATCCACATTCAGAAAATTTAAAATGAAGAGTACATGACTTAATGCATTATGTAGAGGCTAAGTGCACAACTCCCCTTTACTTATTTTTTGAATTCATGTTTTCAAAGCTCCATGGGCATGTCAGTGGCATGCTCCATTTGAGTCAGTGTTTGTTTAGCAGCTTCTGTGAGCTGTCTAAAGGAACTAGGGTCACAACTGCCCTTAAGAATCTCACTGTGGGGGTCAAGATCCTCTGTAGAAGTTTTAAATAGGGTCTTATTTCCCAATAATGTTTGAAACTTATTTAAAGTTTGTAAATCTTTTCTAATCCAAGTTGTAAAGCTTTCATTAGCTGTATTGTCTGCTTTGCATTTTCATAGACACCTTTCTAGGTGGGGCTGACAGAGCTGCAGTTTCCTGAGGCTTCTCAAATAACTTGCTTCAAATCTCTAGATTTCTTTTTTAACCACAAAAATAGGAGAATTTCTGTATTCTTTCCTCTGCTACAGGCTACTGAACCATCCATAGAAGATCCTTGGGCTCTCGGGTCATGCTGGTTTTGGCCATTTCCTGATGACTGACTCTGGGGGGGGGGGCTTATGGGAAGTGCAGATCTCCAACCTTTCCTGTTAAGACACTGTCTTTTTGACTATTGAAAGCAATTTGGGTAGCCTTTTTGTTAGGATTCAGGCATTTACAATCACACCTCACACACATGTGGGCACACCATACCCTCCTTTTCCCTAGGTTATAAGTTTTTTTTCAAATAAAATGTCCTTATCTGAAATCTTTTGTAATGCAGCAGTTATAGCTAACACCTGAGTATTATGAGCATCTAAAATCTGGACAAATTCAAATAAAATTATCTGTTACCTTTCTTTCTATAAGGTCATTTTATACATCCTTATTCTCCACTGAAGCCCACACAAAATTTCCTGAAGGAAATGGTATAAGGAAACTCCCATAACACATAGTGAGAACTATTAAAAATGAAAGTGAAAAGATGCTGGAGAATTGTGGTCTGCAATGTTAAAATACTGGAACTTACTGGAGCAGCAATGTTCTCTGTGTGCTCCACACCAGGCACTGAACTGTGGAACCATCTCAAGATTGTTTTTATTTCTTTTTTAAGGTTTAGTTCATTATTCTTGTCTTTGTGCATGCACATGCAGAGTGTAATTTGGAATCAGATGACAGCCTATGTGATGCAGTCCTCTCCTCCTACCATGTGGATTGTAAGAACCAAACCATATCCATCAGTCTTGGTTGCAAGTCGTGGACTATTTTTGTTAGTCATTGCTTTTGATGTTTTCTTTTTGAAACAGGCTCATAAATTTCAGGCTGACTTAGAAATCATAATGTTTCTGTCTTCACTTCCTAATGCTAGAATGATTGGTTTCAGTATCATGCCCTCCTATGCAGAGGCCTGGTGAATGCTGACCTTTTGCTCTACTGAATGAAACCAATCTGAGCTGAAAAAATTGATATAGCTGACATTTTGATACAATGGTCTACACTGAGACCTCATCTCAAAATCAAACAAAAACTGCAAAGAAATAAAAACTTTTGTTAAATATATTGTGTATATCTGTTTTGAGACAGTCTCTAACTTTCCTAGGCTGATCTTGTTGGGGAAGTCCTGTTATTTGCCTGTGCATTTGTCAATAAAGTACTGTCTGGCCAATAGAAAACCTAGATAGGAGGGACTAGGAGTCGAGGAGGATTCTGGGTAGGAGAAACACAGGAGAGTCGACATGTAACGCCGGGTAGGAGCCCGGAAACTTCTCCGGTAAGAGACATACTTAGATTAACAATTATGGGGTAATTACTTAAAGCAGAGCTAGCCAGTAAGAGACAAGCAAGGCCAACAGCTTCATAATTAATATAGCCTCCTGTGTGTTTATTTGGGACTGATACGGCTCTAGAACCAGGCTGGCGGGAAAGCGGCTCTGGAACCAGGCTGGTGGAACGGCTCCTTCTCAAGGAAAGCTCTTAACATGATCTAGAAAATACATTGTAGCCTTTGAACTGCCCCTTGGCCTTAGCCACCTAAGTACCAGGAGAACACGCCTGGACTACCAAGGGAGGAAGCCAAACACACTGCTAGTAGCCAGAGATCCATGGCAAGGTCAGAATTTCCCTAGGTTCAAGTCAGAATTCAGAACTTTCCTTGAGGTAGAATGCAGACAGTTCTGCATGGAAGGATGGGAAGAGGACCATGATCCAATTCTCTTTGGGGTCCAAACGTCTTGAGAATCTTATGTGGGCTAGGGCAGTAGATGCAAAATGAGACATTGTTTATGCAGAGAGGGAGCGCATAGCCAGGGTCAACCTGGCCATGGACAAGCTGCAGCTTCATTGGCTTCATAGGGAGCCCAAGAAGCTCGCAAGAGCCAGGCATTGGTGGTGCACGCCTTTAATCCCAGCACTTGGGAGGCAGAGGCAGGAGGATCTCTGTGAGTTCAAGGCTAGCCTGTCTACAGATGGAGTTCCCCGACAGGCCCCAAACCTACACAGAGAAACCCTGTTTTGAAAAACAAAAACAAAACAAAGCATGCCAGGACCAGAGCTGTGCCCAGGAGTCCCTGGAGAAGGACAAGGAAAATATCAAAAGAGGATTCCCTCCTGCTCACAGTTGTGGCCCATTAAACTGAGATTACACAAAACTGAAGAACCTCCCAGATGCCAAGGTATTGCAAAAGCCTCCCACTTTTTACAAAAGAAACAGGTAAAGGAAGAGAGTCTCAGAGCAAGTCTGGTTACTGATGCTCCAACTGGTTATTGTAACCATGGTATCAGTGTGGTATGTTTACATCATTCTTAATAACAGCTGTACAGACAGGGATAGCTTGTCAGATCCAGTCTGGGAAAATCAGTATCAGTTACCCTTCTTTTTTAGTTGTGAGCATAGCCTTTAACAGCTGAGCCATTTCTCCAGCCCAAGTTGCCCTATTTTTCTAAAATGTGCATGCACAAGTGTGTGTGTGTGTGTGTGTGTGTGTGTGTGTGTGTGTGTGTGTGTTGCCTACATGCATATCTGTGGGTCCTCTGGAACAAGAGTTAAAAGATGGTTGTGGGGTGTCATGTGGGTGCTGGAAATTGAACCTGGGTCCTCTGGTAGAGCGTCCCATGCTCTTAAGTCCCCAATCCAAAATCCGTTTTTTTTTTTTTTTTTAAAATTCCAGTCACCAGCTTTGTCACTAGCATGCTGACAGAGGGGCAAATGTGCACCACTGTCAGAAGTTTCCTGTGTGCTCTCATGAACTATTGGAAGAACCATGGCTTAGGCGGGCTGACGGTTGTCAGTCTATGGAAGCAGCCTCCATTGGAACCATTTGGGGAATATGCTGGTTGGTTGTTTTTTTCGAGACAGGGTTTCTCTGAATTGTTTTGGAGGCTGTCCTAGCACTCACTCTGTAGACCAGGCTGGCCTCGAACTCACAGAGATCCGCCTGCCTCTGCCTCCCGAGTGCTGGGATTAAAGGAGTGCGCCACCAACACCTGACTGAGAACCATTGGGGGGGGGGGGGGGTTAACAGACACCAGTATCAGATTGTAGCCCAGACTGATTAAGTCAGGTCTGCCCCTCCCTCATTTGAATTTTTTTCAAGGTACCCTGGTGATTCTAACCACTGTCAGGAAGACTGTTTGGGATGGCGCTGTGCCTTGGCTGTGCTATGATGCCCATCCTACTGGCCCTAAGTGCCAAGGCTGACAGCTGAATTCCATTTGATAGCATAGCCTGCCTGCCAATCTTATTTGCATCTGTTTTCCCACTCACATTCCAGGCTCCTACACACGGGCTCCTAAACCCTAGCGTAAGCCTGCCACCCCTATACTTTCTGAGTGCCCCAGACACAGTATTTTACCTCTCTATATTCTCTCTGCAGAAGTCGTCATAGAGAAGTGGGCAGCTGGCTAGAGTAGTCATCAAACAGAATGCTGGCCGAGACTGACCCACTTCTTGGAGGTTCGAGAGACAACCTCCTTCCTGTGCCAAGGGCTGTCTGGTCACAGAGACCATCTCCCATGCAAAAGCCAGCATCTACAGGTTTTTTTTTTTTTATGGTCAGCCTCAAACTCATAGAGATCCACCTGCCTCTGCCTCCCGAGTGCTGGAATTAAAGGCATGGCCACTACACCTGGTCTTTTAGGTCCTTTCTTCACAAACACTCTCAGGAACTTAAACCAGTGGTTCTCAGCCTGTGGGTTGTGACCCATTTGGAGTCAAACTACTTTTTCACAGGGGTTACATGGTTACATGTCAGATAGCCTGCATATCAAATATCTACATTACTATTCATAACAGTAGCAAAATTACAGTTATGATGTAGCAATGAAACAATTTTATGGCTGGGGTCCCCACAACATGAGAAACTGTGTTAGGTGCAGCCTTAGGAAGTTTGAGAGCCACTGCATTCAACAGTCACATATTTGTACAACCTAATGGCCTCTTGTGCAACCTTAGCTGACCACATACAAATAATTTTCTTGGCACTCTGTGCATTTTAAGTTGTCTGGACCAGATAAGATGTCACAGAATTGGCACACCAGGCAGAAGCTGTTGAGTCCTCCACATACCCAAGATGGCAGGCTAATCTATCTCTGTGTAGACAGTCATGCAGATGTCAGCACTTTGGGGCAGGAGCGTTCGCACCATTATACGTGATGCTTTGGGGATGTTAGTGAGGTGGTACACAACAACTACATCAGCGTTTGACATCCTCCAGGTAGGGTCTGCTATTTCAGCCCTAGGCCATCTTCCAGAGTCTTTGGTTCCTTGAGGAAAGATCCCTTCACTTTGGCTTCACTATGGAAGTGTTCTATTATCTTTTCTTTAAAGATTTATTCTTTGTGTATGTGTGTCTGTGTGTGTATATGCACGTGTGTGATGCTCTCCGAGGCTAAATGAGAACACAGGATCCCTGAACTGGAGTGACAGGTAGTCGTAAGCCACTGGATGTGCGTGCTGGGGACTGAGTGCACCCTCTGCTAGTGGGCAAGCCCTCTTAACGGCTGAGCCGTCTCTCCGGCCCCTCTTCTGCCCTTCTGAATACCCTTGCCGCCTGTGTCTCCAGCTCTGCCACCCTGGTGCCTTCACCAGCCTTCTTTGGGCACCATCCCTTATTTCTCAGCTTGTTTGCCTGGTTCAGCGGCTGCCATGCCATGCTGCCCTTCCTGGCTGCCTGCCACCCTGCTAGCCTGGCTGCGCTGTTTGGGATCAGCATAGCTCAGCCCCTCTTTCTACTTTGCTTTCATCCACAGTCGAATACAGAGAGTTCTGTGAGTGCTTCATGGTACGATTCTCCCTTCTTAGGCACCTGGAAGAAATTCCTTCCCCCTCCCCAGTGGTGCCCAGTCTACTTGCAAGGACTATGTTAATTCTCTGTGTAAACTAAGTATTGTATTCATTGTAATTATAATAGTCATTTATCAACTGTTTAATGGGTTGGAGATGTGGGCACAGGTCCTCTGCCACCCACAGTCCCACAAGCTATCATCAAGGTGTCACTGGAGTTTAAGGTGCTCTTATGCTAGTGGTAGAATTCCATTTTGTGCAGTTAGAGAAGGCTGAGGTCCCTGCCCTTGTTGGCTCTTAGCCAAAGGCTGATCTCGGTTCTTTAGAGGCTGCCCGCAAAGCCTTGCCTCGCGCTCCACTCCATCTTTGGAACCACTCTCGTCTTAAATCCCCTCCGACATCAGGATAATCCCTGACCCGGGATAGATTCACCTCATGAGTTGACGTCCACTTCCTTTCTGTGCTGTCTTCTTCCTGAGTCCCTTCCTTCTCTGCAGAAGGGTGTGTGTGTGCCGGGGGGTGTGACACCGTGAGTTCAGTTACAACTTTTCCCGCCACAAGGCATTACACACACAATCACAGCCGTCCTATTGTCTCTGCTGCCCGCCACTCACCGCTTTTGTTAACTACTTAAACTTTTTAAAGATCCTACCCCTGGGCTGGGGAGATGGTGTGGTGGATAAGTATGAGGACCTGAGTTTGATCCTCTACACCTACATGAAAACTTGGGGTTGGTCAAATGGACCCTGAGAGGTGGATAAGGATTCAGCGGTGACAAACAGAAACAAACACAGATACAGTTTGAGTCTGAGTGTATTTTGCAGTTCTCAAGAAAGGCTTTTTATAATGAAAACAAATATCATCTTGGGATTGTGTTCAGTGAAGCAATACCCAAATGACATCATTGTTACTAGGCACAAACACACAACTTATCCAACAATAGGTCAGAAAAGCATTCAGGGTTAACCGCCTATTTCTAAGATCAGGTTAATAAATTTTTATGGTCAGTTATTTTTTTACATCTGTTACCTAGTTCACATTTTTTTTGGATATCTGTTATCTACTTTTTGTGAGTCTTTGAAATACTGAGCTATTTTGACATTTTCTTAACAAAAAGCTTTCTTATTAAAAAGCTTTCTGTACCAAACATTAAAACCACTTTTGATCACACATGTACAACCATATGAAAATTTATTGTTGGGAAAAATTTTTATCAATACTATTGCTATTTACTTATTTGGATAACATGAATGATTTGAAAAGCGCTGATTTTCCTG